GTTAATAGTTAATAGTTAATAGTTAATAGTTAATAGTTAATAGTTAATAGTTAATAGTTAATAGTTAATAGTTAATAGTTAATAGTTAATAGTTAGTTGTGATTTTTAGCTGGAAGTTCGGTGTTGGGCCGCGCCCGCACGCAGCAGAAAATCGACGTGGGTAAGAAAATCATCAATTATAGCTCGATGCGGATACCCCATCGGACCCCAGCGTACCCCATCCGTCGCAACACGACTCGAGCCAGTCAGAGGAACATGCACGCGAGGTCTCAGCCCAATATGCGCCAATTGGGGTCCGGGAGTCACTTGGAGAACATCAAATCGTACAATCGATCGATCGAAAAAGACACTGTGAATAATATTAACAGGATGATGGTGTCACAATCCGCTCCGCATACCCCCGTGTCAGCCCCCAACCACACCGAAGGCCCCATTTTCAAATCAGTCCCCAGATTGTTATCCGAACCGATGGTGGGGTGCCGGTCGAAGTCTTCATCACCGGCGACTAAAACGAGCAAATTGGAGAGGAATTCGCCGCAATTGGGGGATAGTTTCAAAGTGCGCTCGTTAGGGCCCCACGTGCCGGTGCACACATCGCCGAAGCATTTGAAAAAAGACAAGTTTTTTCTCAAATCGCCGTTGATTAAAAGAGAGACGAAAATTCAACTTGAGAGAGGGGGGAGTAAGGAAAAACCCGAAAGGATCAACTCGTTGGATGGCACTCACGTTTAATCGATGTTTCTTGGTGTTTCATTGTGATATAGGGGGGTTTAAGAAAATCTAGTCATTTTTTTATTTTGGGACCAATTTATTTGGAGGGTCTGTCGCTTTTATGTTGTAAATAAATGTTGTTGGAACGTAGGGTGTTTCTTTTCTTCGAATTTTGTGGATCAGTGAGTGGAAAATTCATGTATTTCCGGGGCTACGACACCGGTAAATGCGAATTAACTCACAGCTCTGTGGAAAATTGATTTGTCTGATATTTTTTAACAAGATCAAAGTCAAGTGCTCGTGACTGTTTCGGGTTTTACCCAATTAATGATGTTTATTTATGGAAATTAATTGCAAAATTTTACGATTTCACTAATGCCAATTTATGTTATGGACAATGTGCGTTATCGGTGAAGATAACACGAATTGAATTTTTCAATTAACGGGTAACAAAGTAGCTTCTAATTACTTCAAGCAATTTTTTATTATTATTTAAAACGCAACAAAACAATTTCAAATTCGAGAATGAAAAATTTGATTTAATAACTCACCCATTGCACCCACACACTTCGCAAAACTTTACAAAATTGCTGAATTTTATCCCAACCATATGTTGGTTTTTCAGGATTTAGATAATAGTTCCAATTTCGCTTGTCGTACTAAAAACAAGAGTAGTATCGAGAAGTGCGTGAGTGGTAATAAGTGTCACAAATTTTTCGAATAATGAAAACTCGGGTTTACAAAGGCATCCGATTATATCGATGGACCAATAAGTTTTACTGCAAGTATTTAGAATCTCTCTATTTAGACTATTCGCATCAACAACGACGTGTCACTTTAATTCTGATTATTTTGGCGGATTCTTTTCTAGCAGTAGGAATTTCGTCAATTGAGCAACGAAGAATTGTAACATTTTTATTGTAGATCCCGTTTCTTGGGTTCTACCTAACCAAATTACCGGACAAACGATTCCAAGTTATTGGTATCAGTTGTTGTGTACTTATTAATTTCTTTCTATTTTTAATATGTTGGAAATGCTTACCTAGGAAAAAACACTTGAATTGGGCTGCTGTGTGTATGTGGATGGTGTTAATAGCTCACAGTTAGTTTACGGAATTTTTTAAATAAAATTGTACTAAATAGCTTTCAGGTGTTTTAGACATTTTTGATAAGAAAGACCAAGATTTGCTTTGGTACTCGATCTGGTACAGTACTACCACCATTTTCGTACCATACACCTTATTCCCTCTTACACTTATGTGGTCTCTTACACTTGGCAGTACCTCATTTGTGATTCACGTGGGTTTAATATTTTTCCAAGTCTTGGAATCAAGTAATGTTTTTGAAATCAAACCAATTGCTTCTGACGCTCTTTTTTTCCTCACGGTTAATTTCGCCGGGGCTTATATAAAAATTTTGACCGATGGAAGTCAGAGGAAATCCTTTGTGGAAACTTTACGTTTCCTGGAAAACCGCTGCAAAGCACAACAAGAAAACGAAAAACAGGCCCAGCTCATTTTTTCCATCCTTCCCGATTTCGTGGCCAAAGAAATGTTCAAAGACATAGAAAATGAAGAACGCAGGGGATCAACACAGACCCAACAGTTCCACAAAATCTACATCCACAAGTACAACAATGTGAGCATACTTTTTGCCGACATCAAGGGTTTCACCGCTTTGGCAAGCAAATGCACGGCTCAAGAATTGGTGAGAAACCTCAACGGCTTGTTTGCGAGATTCGACAAATTAGCAACGGTAAACAAAATCCCCGCAGGGGCGGACTGGCCAGGGGTGCCAGGGTGCCACAGCACCCCGGGCCCTCGAGTTTTACGGGCCCCCAATTATGGTAGGATTATTATGTCAAGAGCTCATTGAAATAATATCAATAATTCTAAATTTGTAAATAAACTTTCCACAATCCATGAAGTGCTGAACTACGTTTTTTTTTTTAGTTTAAAAGAATTAAAAAATTGCCGTCATAACAAATAAAACTATAATGTCTATAATTTCAATTATTTTAGCTCAATTTTGCTTATAAGGTCTTACACGCATGTAAGAAAAATTCCGCGTGGATTTGTACAGGGTGCTGCATTTTGGATGTCCGAATAGGGAATCTCCGAAACTAAGAGGTTTAGCCAAAAACGAGTGATACATTCTGGGGCTCATTTTTTGAGAAAATAATATTGGTTAAAACCGCAT